CGTTTCTTTTGACAGCATTTTCTTTAATGGAAAGAGGTTTAGAGTGGGCGATGCACTTATCTCAATATTTGATATATCATTTGAGCTAGATGGTTCACTCACGTGCGCGTGACAATTTGTCACGCAGATCATATCTGTCGATGACTTGGTAAAATCGTTTATGAGGTTTTGAATTTGAATATCCTTTAGACTCGAAATAGCACTTGCGCTGTAAGTTATTTGACTAATTTTATCAATTCCTACTCCTTCATAGAATATATATACTTTTTTTGCTCTGGAAGTTATTTTACGCAAGTTTACATCAGTAATATCGGGAAGGAGCGATTTGATTTCATTATATACTATCGTTCTTGCCGATTGGTCATCAATATTATTCGCAGACTTAACATCACTAACTCGATTTTCGTATGCTTTATAATAACAATACCAGCACAGACTTTCCTTTTGTCGAACCTTCATTGCTACCCTAAATAGATCAACTATATTTTGCGACGTAACCTTACCAGATCCTGTTAAAATCCCTTCTAAAGAAAATTCGGGAATCTGAATATCAAATACTTTATTAATATTATGATTATTATCTTTGATGCAAATCAATAGCTCGAGTCTTAAACCTCGTTCTACTTTTTGATTATAAGGAATTTTCTGATTAGGCAATAGATTAGTAGGTGATTTGGACTCGGAGCTTATCTCTGGAATGTTCAGATTTGCACTCTTTGGATTCGTTTCGATTGTAACAGTTTTTACATCATATAATGAATTAGACTGTTCTGAAGAATTATTATCTGAAGATAAACCTTGGGATCTAAGCTTCTTCTCCCGATTCTTTTCTCTTATTTCATTACTAATACGTTCTTTATGTACCCGATCCAGAAATTCGATCCCTTTATCTTCTGGTAATTTAGACTCTGTATGAATAGATGATATGGTGCATTGAATCTTCGACTCCTGATATTCATCAGAACTTAAAGCATCATCAGTTATATTAGATGAAGGAGTAATATCCTCTAACGATTTTATAACAAGGTTGGATATATTATCATTTTCATACGAATTATCGCCATTTTCTAATCTATCTACAGCATTGTTTTGCTTCTGCTCCAATTTTACAAATCGCTCTTCATTTTCTTTTGCTGACCGTTCTAGTTCCATGATTCTTGCATTGAGCTCAGCATCTCTTAACTTTGCTTTCTCGGCATTTTCTTCTATAATCTGTTTTAGCTCAGTCTCAAGCGCATTTTTTTCTTTTACTATTTGCTCTAATTCTGCGATCCTAGTCATAAGTCTAACATTTTCCAATTTTAATGAATCAACCTCGGATAAGTCTTTAGATTCGCCTTTTTGAGTTTGCATGTTTAATATTAATTTATATAATTTTAGAAATTGTTGGGAAAAGAATTTTACTGTACACGTTTTGAAAAATATTTTTTCTTGATAGTTAATGCTTTTAATTTCAAATAAAAAAATTATGTGCGCGTGACAATTTGTCACGCCGATCACTTTTACCAAGAAATATTTTTGTCTCAAAGAGGCTCACCTTTGGTGCTAAAAATTCTTGACAATATGTCATTTTTTCGAAGTGATTGTGTTTTTCTCTTTTTTCATATATAGAAAGATTATTCGAATTTTTTTTATCACAATATAAGTTATATGTATTAACAGAAAGAATAATATATACGTATCTAAAATTTTATTGAAAAAATGTTATATCCTATCACAGAAGTGCAAGAAAAAAAAAAGAATATATCTACTACACAGGCAAATCGGAACCATGATTTTAAACATTAGAATTTTTTTCTGATATTCTTTTCAGGCAAACTTTATTATAATACATAAATAAATTAAGGTAAGATCTGTTCATCTATTATTTCGTGGAACTTGCCAGTGACATCCCGAAATCTGGCACTCATATGGACATTTCTAAAATCCTTGTCATGCCAGAAATGTATGACATTCAAACCCCTATCCTGAAGCTTTTGAGATGGCCAGTATGGCTTAGTAACAACAAAATCTTCACGAGAAAAGTGCACGATCCATACTTCTTGGGGGCAAAGGTGCTCAGCATACTTAAAGACTTGGTCGAAATGGCCGTTTAGTTTTGAAACCGATGCTGTTGCTAAGAGCTCAATAAGAGCTTCAGGATGGGGGTTATCAGGTTTCTTTATCGTCAAATCACAGTAATAATGATGGTAGCTGCCGTCATCACAAACTTGTTCAAGATGCCACTGGCCTGTAATTTCGTAGCCGTGGACCTTCCTTAGCCAATTTGCTAAGATCCTGTACATCTCAGCATCATACGTGCTCTCTCTCGGAACTTTATTGTGATGCTCAAAATCCACGTATATGTGATTTGAATTTTTGTACGAGCGGGTGGATCCTAGTGCTATTGTGCCTTGGTCGAATTCATGGACTACAACCTTTAACACTTCTAAAATATTTATGGATCCGTTCTTCCGCAACGGAACATCTATGGAGATATCCATGATATTACCAATGCTTCGTTTTTTTCCGGCAATAGGTGCAGAAGGTAATAAAACTTCTTGCTGATTAGAAATATCAGCTAAAGGCTTTTGAGCCATTTTCCCATCAACCTGCATAAAATAACAGTAAATGAGATAATATTCTCAGAAAGTATATGTAGATGATACAAAAAAATATCTAGCATATTTTTTGTTAAAGGTACATAACCAACTCCTCCTCCAGGATCAGTAGACCTTTATCAAAAAATATTGTTAAACAGTCTCCAAGATGAATATGCTAAACACTGCAATAACCGAGGGCTTGTAAATCCCCAAGCGAAAGCTTCTTGTGCTTATATATCAAACCTGAAAAATGTGCGTTTGGCATATAAAATAAGATACTTACTTTCTTTATGAATAACAGGCTCCTAACTGCCTCAAGAACTTCTTGCGAGGTGCTTGGATCATCACGGATAATATATAAGGTGTTATAAAACACTGTATGCGCCTCATTTTTCTTGATGCATCCAAACATATTTGTAGACCAGGAGATGAAATGCTGAATGGACCACATGTTATATGGGAAGAGCCAGAAATATTCGATTTTACCCTTTTCAAGAGCTTTTGTTCGTTCCTTAAACCTTCTGGCTTGTTTATCTAGTTTTATAGCGGGTCCTCGTTTCATGCCATCTTCTATAAACTTTTTTTCGGTCATATCCGGAAAAATCTGTCCATCGATTTTTTCTTTGCGAAGTATTTCATAGTTATCCTCGTCGAGGTTTAAATTTTGTCCGCGCAAAAAAATAATAAGAGTTTCAGTATCCCAGTTTTCAGCTGAGAACGGTTAGAGTAACAGCGGGAGAAGACATAATGATTATTTGGTTAGTTTTAAGTGAAAAATTCAGCAAAGTAGTAATGACAAATTTTGGAATAACTGTCCATACGTCTTTTATAAATGAGAGAAAGCGCGTTAAAGAATGATCAGCTAAAGACGCGTTTATTTATGTATCACAGTATTACATCGATCAAGCGTGCGCGTGACAATTCGTCACGCCGATCACTTTTGCCAAGAAAAATTCTTTGCTCATGAACTTGATATTCCGTTGCATACGTAGAAATATGTATATCCAGGGGACTGAATTTGGACTTATTTTAGAAAAATGGCAGTGCCTTGTCTCACAAATAAGCTATGCATAACAATAATTATTCTAACACGTTAATGAATTTATATGGAAAAGATAAAAAATTACTTATACCTGAAAATAAAACTATCGCTATCATTATCATTATTACCAAATCACTAATTCTGATTTATTATTTGTGGTTCCTTTAGAACTTTTCACATTCACATCGCTTATATATTCCCTCTGCTACTTTTTTGCAGGTTTTGCAATATAGATGCGAATGATGGTCGCATTCGTCACAAACCTTACACCCGTGCTTCCAGCCTCTAAAGATGTGCCACTTTTCGAAGTAATTTTTTTTATTTGTTAATACGTTACTCTTATCTTTCATTGTTATATATTAACAGAAAAA